ATTGGTTTTGTCTTCCTAGTAGCTGACAAGGTCCTTCCCTCTCTCACGTTTCATGAAGCACTCTTCCCCCTCCCACCACGTGACCAAAACCCATTCCCTGAAGTTTCTTCTACAATCAGTGTTTACCGTCTCCTCTCTCAGTGGTGACCTTGCTGCTTCCACAACTTCCTCTTTCATTTAGGGTACCACAAAAGTGAGAAGTATGATGCACAACAAAAAAAAAATCTAATGTATTAAGTCCTTCTCTAAACTGATGCATTCCCTAGGCTGGAGGACAACCTCTCCACATTTCATATGCCAATAACAAACAGATTTGTTTTATTTTTAGTAAAATAAGGCATTCTTTACCATAATTCTATTTATTTATTGAGAATAGGTAAAACATACGTAAAGTATAAAACTCCAGAGGCACGAAGGCCTATATGGAGAAAATACAGTGAAGTGAACAAGGTCCTCCTGCCCAGAGACATCAAAGATTCTTTAACAATTACCTTTTGTTCTTCTCTTTCTGTTGCATGGTGACACTTTTCAATTCTCCAATGCCTCAAGAAATCTCGAAGATATCCAAAGAGGGTGAGTACACCATACCCCACATAAGTGAGCACAGCAACCAGCATTGGTGTTTCTTCAAAAGCTTCATTAAATGGTCTTTTGTACAGTCCTCCATTTTGTGTAACATGATGGATCTAAAAGAGAAATTAGAAATGTTTACTGCAATCACATTAAGAAAAAGATTTCTACTCAAAATCTAACTCCTCACAGATTCACAGAATTACACCTTAGGAATTTTTTAAGTAACAGTCAAATTAAACACTACGATCTAAGCAGGGCATACTTGTTTTCAACAGAAATAATTTATAAATTATATACTTCAGATGAACCGTTAAAAAAAAAAAAGATGGAGTGAGAAGGACTGCCTAAAAACAATGCCTAACACTGATTTTTGATTTTCTGAAATAGATCCTAAAATGCTGTGATTGGAGAAAGCATAATTTCCTTTGTTCCAATAAAGAAAACAAAAAAATATAAATCAACAAAGAGAAAGCCTGTCCTGAAAAATACTACATTAGCTTACAGACGAAGTGTTCAAAAGTTCAAAAGTAAATTCAATTTTAGAATGTAAAATATGAGTGTTTTACTGCTACACATTCTTAAAGCCACCCAGCCATAGTACTGCAAATAATTATCAGCGCTAGGCCCCCGTAGAACATGTGGTTCATGTTAGCCTTTCTTGGTAGTGATAATACAAATAAATTATGCCAAAAAGTAAGATGTTTATATAAGTGTGATCCAGTATCATATAAAAGTAAAAGGAAAATGAAATCTAACACAAGGGGAAAAACTGTTAGAATGACCAGTCACTGTCACGTGTTCATTCGGTCCCCCCTTGTCTTGACCTAAGCATCCACTTCCAAACATTGCAAGATTATCCTTTCTTTTAACCTTTGGGATACTTGGATTTTAGTCTTTTTTTTTGAGACAGAGTCTTGCTCTGTCACCCCTCCCACCCCCTGCCGCCTGCCGTTTGTGGAAAAATTGTCTTCCATGAAATGGTCCCTGGTGACAAAAAGGTTGGGGACTGCTGATATAAACAAATGAAAATAAATTGACGAAAATTTACATAATTATACAAAGTAATTGATACACATATCCAAGAGCTAAAGATATTTTAGCTTGGAAAGCTGCCTGAATGCTACAAGTTGGAGGTTTGGAAACACACAGTTGTATTTGATGAAGGAAAGGCATTTGGATAGGCACTGGTACTGATTCAATCTGATGGCCTCAAAAAGCAATTTCTGAAAACTATTTATAAAACTGGTTTAGGTCTTCATCAATCTCTTCACCAAAGGGGTAGAAGTTTGTGTCAATATTTAATACTAGAACTTTTATGTAGGGGTAAGGTTGTAATGTGTTTAGAAAAGAGTAGCTAGAAATGAGCCACAATCTAAAGATAGAAAATTGTTTAAAAAGTAACAACATAACAATATAACGAAGCTATTAAGCTGGGCAAAGCAAAATGAAAACAGTTTAAAAGACAAGAAAAATAACATTCTGATCATCTCTTTAAAAAACTATATCTGAAGATATTTTGCCTTAAAACGATGTGTTTAATACCAGTGCCAAACTTCCCTTAACCACGAAATTATTTAAACTATTTCCTTTCAATTGTACATATCATTAAAAAGCCAGGAAATTTACAGATCCCCACAGTCTCTAACTAATGTGCTATGGGTGGATCTCTTTTAAAGACAGCTGCCTTGATTTAAGACACACCCAAATGAGATCAAGTAAATTCATACCGTAGGTTAGACTATCTAGAAGAAGTTAAACCATTATTAAGTACTGTGTGATTCCATCAAAGCCATATTTAAAATTAAATGTATTTTAAAGAATTCAGGTTCAACTATGAAGTGACTTTTGAATATTGGCTTCAGTCAAAACAGAGTTATTCTGAGCATGCAGAGGCAGATGAACAGGACAACTGATATGCAAATCTCTCACAAGTGGAAAAGTCCTAGAACTCAGAACAAAATTACTTGATCTTTAAGTATTGATGCTAAATTTAATCTTTCACATGATTCAAACAATAATAATTATATTAGGCCAATCATGATGACTCACACCTATAATTTCAGCACTTTACAAGGCCAAGGTTGGAGGATCACTTGTGGCCAGGAGTTTGAGAGCAGCCCAGGCAACATAGCGAACCTCGTCTCCAAAAAAAATATAAAAAATTAGCCAGCATGGTGGCATGCACCTGTAGTCCTAGCTAGCTACTCAGGAGGCTGAGGCAGGAGGGTCACTTGAGCCCATAAATTGGAGGCTGCAGTGAGCTATGATCCTGCCACTGCACTCCAGCCTGAGTTACAGAGTGAGACTCTGTCTCTAAATAATAATAATAATGATAATAATTATATTACAATCTTATACGTTATAATATTCCATGAAGGAAAGCACTAGGCTTATTTTGTTTATTATTGCACATCTAGCAGCCAGGATAGTATTTATCAAGTGTTAACAAATAGTTAACACTTGCTCAATAATATTTTCTTTTATTACTACTAATATTACAGAAAGGGGCATCTCGCAGGAGATACCACTTAGTTCTCAAATAGACTTTACAGGCTGACAAGTATGCACAAATCAATGAATATTTGTTGAATGAATGAAAATATATATTATGCTCTTTGCTCTTTCAAAAGCAAGTAGCCTGGCAAAGTAGGGGTTAAGTAAGTTACAGTGATTACACAATTAACACTGGGCATTTCTAGAACCCAGATCTGATGCTTTTTAGTCTCAAGCAGACTGTCAGTGAGATCAAGTTTACTCTCAACAAAGCACAGGCTATACTCTTACAGTGCATTTCAAATTTTGGATTCACCGGGAGAGCTCTTGATAGGCCTTTCAGTCATGCAGACTTGAGAGTTATACTGTCAACAAGGTAATCAAGAAAAATATTAGTATATCACTCCCTCCAGGTTAAAAAAAAAAATAGATAGCCAGTCATTCACATTAAGCAGACAAGAATGTCACACTATGTTAGCATTATTAATCAAGGGAAGATTTAAGGACTCCAATAAATACCAAGAAACATTTGCTTGAACAGTAATCTTACAATCTACTGAAAATGCAAAAAAACCCCAAAAAGGCAAAGGAAAAATTTTTTCAGTCAAGACTATAAGCACATCGCTATAAAACGCATTACAGGGCAAGGGGATGGAAAAAAATAAGCCATTTTGTCCACATACCTGTGGGCTGTCAACCATTTTTGTTAAGCAGCTGAAAAGGCACTCCTAACCAAAGCAATAATGGGAAAGTATAATCAAAAGATAAACTCATATACATTATATGCTTTTATATGCACTAAAAGTGTTTGGAAGGAGACATAAGAAATTGGGGAAGGGAGCACAGTGGGATTAGAAGGAATACTTCTTGCTTATAATCTTCTAAACTGGTTTGATTTTCCTATTTTTTATAATGAGTATATATTACTGAATTTCACTTGCCATTTTATTTTTTAAATGTTTAAACTAAATTTTGTCACTGATTTTATTCACTATTGGGACCAAAACAGAGTTAATAAAAGCAACACATGCCTATCATCATAACCTCAGTCATCTCATGATTTACAACCTCTCTAGCAAATTCTCATCTACTTATTAGTTTTCAAATAGACTTTACAGGCTGATGAGTATGCACAAATCCATACTGCAATCCCAAACTCCTTTCCAGAAGTCCACATTTACATTTCCACCAGCCTCCTGCATAGCTCCATTGAGACATCTCATGGGCACCTCAAAATCAACAAGTCTAAGGCCGAACTTCTCTCACCACCCTAACCCTTCCCTCAATTAAAACCTGGTCCTCCTCCTGTATTACCTATTTTGGTCCGCAGCATCACCATCCAGTCTACCCAGTCTCCCAAGTTTGGAGTCATCTTTAGCCCCACCTCATTTTCTGCCTTCTACCTAGAACTAGTAATGAATTTCTGTGCCTAAGTTCGAAATCTTCTTGTAGCACATAGGAATTTTAAGGAGGCTGAAAATACTCTATATCTTGAGAGAGGCATAGGATACACAACATACACACAGGTTAAAAAAGAAATCATGGAGCTGTATACCTAAGGCTAGCATATTTTACTCCCCAATTTTTTTTTTTTAATCTCAATTCCTCTTCCTTCACTGGGTGTTACAACATCCTTCTTCCTATTTGGTCTCTCTGCCACCAGGACTCTCCCCACATTCCAACAATCTGCCCAAAACAAATATAATCAAGACACTCCCCTGTTCCAGTGTCCACACAAGGTAAAGTCTTAAGTCTCAACTTGAACAGAATCAAATTTAGTCTACAACATCAGGACACCACACTGTCTCCAGCTCCTTGTGTTGCCATTATTTCCTTTTCCCACCTCCTAAACTCTGTTACAGTCATATTAAACTCCTTGCCACAGACTTTCCAAAAAAATCCTCCTCTAGGAGTGACAAGCTTCCAATAGTAGTAAGTCCATAAATAATGTCCAACAGTGAAAAGTCAACAAGCAGTAACAAACACCATGTTATTTAGAAACAACAAAAGAATCTGCTAAAATTGAAAGTAGCTGCCTTTGAAGATGAAGGTAACGGGGTAGAAGAGAACAGGAGACTGCTGTATATTGCCTAACAAGCCTTGTGGAACTATCAGACACTTAAAACCATGAGAAGTGAAGGGACCGAATACATGCAACATACTCTCAATTGGTTCAAGAAAAAAATTAATAATCTCACATGTGTGAGTGTGTGTGTGT